AATAAAAAAAGAGTCGAGTGTTAATCTAGATATAATTAGTGCTAGCAAATATATTTCGAAACAAAAAGTGAGTATACTCTAACTGAGCAATGTATAAATCACATTCAGTCCAGACTGGGTTAAAACATTCCCATTTGCAGTTTGTGGAAGATTTTTGAACAATAAATCAACAAGGGAATGAAAGGCAACTTAGGGAGACTCAGCCAGGTAATGGTGACCCTCTTACTAGTCTGTACCAGCTTTGGATTAACACAAAGAGACTACCACCACATTCAGATGCTAAACCTCCTGCAAAAACAGCCCATCACTTGTTACCTAGATTGAAATATCATCATGAACCCTATAAACATTAGTAAATTGTAGAAACATATACAATTACTACATATTAACCAAAATTTAAAAAATAATATCGAGGTAGATGGGAGCTGGGGATTTAGCTCAGCGGCATGAGCGCCTGCCTTGCAAGCAGGCAGTCATGAGTTCGATCCCTGGTGCCGATAAAAAGGAAAAAAAAACAAAAACAAAAACAAACAAAAATAAATAAATAAAATAAAATAAAACATCAAGGTAGATGGAAATATTAGCTGCTGATTAATCGTTACACACTGTATACATGTATGGAATTATCACACATTTCTCAATAAATTTGTTCAATTACAATAATAATTTTTTAAAACTCCCCAAATTGGACTTACCTTCCCCAAACTTTCCACTGTTCACACCTTTAATTCCACCATGGCTAATGATGCCTTGTTCTGTGGACATGTAGACTTGTATTCTGGTAGGGAGAAATGGAACAGTGGCTTTTATGTTAAATGAAAATCAAAATAAAACATATTTCAGAAGGTCTAAATGATTGTTTACCTATATTTTAAGATGCTTGAAGTTATTATTTACATTTTTGTACTTAAGCATTACTAAACTATTAATAACACGTAATACATTTGTGCCTTACTTCAGAGGGGAACACTTGAGGAAGAAATGCACGATGCTCTATTGTCACATGTAAAATTCATTGAAAGTAGAAAAATAGTTTTTCTTTCAGTTATGAATATTTTTTATTTAGTTTCTAGGTAAGAAAGGAAAGCCTCACAATTACATTATAAGGAAAATCATATAAATATAAATTTAGACAATGCCTAACTATATATTAATCTTTTTCTGCCTTTTATACCAATAGAATTCATTTCTTAAGCAAAAAAAAAAAAATATATATATATATATATATCTATATCTATCTATCTATATCTATATCTATATCTATATCTATATCTATCTATATCTATCTATATCTATCTATATCTATATCTATATCTATATCTATATCTATATCTATATCTATATCTATATCTATATCTATATCTATATCTATATCTATATCTATATATGCCGGGCATGGTGGCTCATGCCCGTAATCCCAGCACTCGAGAGGCTGAGGCAGGAGGATTGTTGTGAATTCAAGACCAGCCTGGGCTACAAAGTGAGCTCAAGGCCAGCCTGAACTGCATAGAGAGACCCTGCCTCAAAAAAAAAAAAATTGTAAAAGGGAGTTTCATTACACAATGTCTATCTCTTTTAAGAAATAAGAATTGGCAAATGGCAGCTTTCTTTGCAACGGCGGGTTGAAACAGCCATTGATAAGTATTTGAGCAAATTTGACAAAAACAATAGAGGCATTTCCTACATAAAAATAGAAGAAGTTAAATTTTGGAATTATGTACGGCATTGAGATATAGCTTGTCAGAATAATGGTCAATAGTTTCTTTCCTAATCAGTGGTATTTATGTGTGTTGATGTATCATATTTCAAATTTTAGAAGTCTAAAGCAATTAATTTCCCTTGCATACAAATTTTAAAATATTCCTTATTAAGAACCAAAAAGCATAGGATGTTGTATGAATAAACAAATAGATTACTTTGTATCTTTTCCGTTCCTTCATTTCACCGTCTCCTAAACCCTAATATTTACTTTCAAACAGACCATATCCGGATTTATTCATTTGAAAAGATCAGAAAAGTATTCTGAAAGAATTCAAAAGCAACTTTTTATGAGACAATATACCCATTTTATAGTAATGAGAAGTATCATATTGTCATCAAAGATTGGTCTCTGTTTTGTCACTTTGCAAATAAAGGTAAAATTTTAAAGTCACATCTTTAGAGAATGTTTATTGAATGTTGAAGTGTGTACCTTAAAAATAGCTGGCATATGGTTTGTGGAAATAGTTCAATATGCTCTTGAACGGCAGTGATTATTGGTTTATGCAATATGACTACGGGATGTATGCAGTCATAATTGACCTGAATGAAGACAGTCTGGGGTTTTAACTGAGTCAATAATTAGGTTAGCTAATTTGACTAGGGAACTATAATTTTTATGAATTTCTATCAGTGTACATAAACCAGTTGCTTATATGATGAACATTTTTTGGACTATTGAACACTGATTGAGTTGGCCAATTTTTAAAATTTGACATGTGTTACTATTTTATAAGATTAAAATTGAGTATTTGTACTTTAATTGTTTTACATCTTCAACACTGCATTGTTTTTATTTCACTAAGAAATATAAACATGCATATTTATTTAAGTATTAAATTTTCTTAAGTACATGTTTTGCCTACGTAATGATTACATCCTACCTGGGGCGTTGTTACAGGTATATAACACATCTTAATACCTTTTTATTTACTCTTCCATTCTGTCTTCTCCTCTTCTCTTCATCTCTTGGTTTCCCTCCTATTTGCAAAAGATCTTTCTCTGTGTTTCTTATTATCTATCTTTTATCTTACTCTTTAAATTATTTATAGTTTGGATTTCTCTTATAAGAAAAACCATATGATACTTAAGATATAAGTATGCATAATAAAGCACTTATGTATAACTGAAGAAGTATATAATCTTCAGAATGACATAGCTTCTATACCTTAATAGTTGTATAGTAAAATGTTATACCACAATTAGAAAATATTAGCTAATAATTCTAGAAAACCTTTCTTGTTTACTAATACTTGTGCTTATTTGTAAATTGAAATGTTTATGGCTTTGCCATAGAAGAGTATAGTAATATATGCTAGATCATATTTAAGGTATACCTGGAATAAAGCCACGAATACAGTTTAGCAACTTGGAAAAGCATGAAAAAACTATACTGACTACTGAAAATGAATTTTTATAATGAATTATATTCCACGCAAATAATATATAAGCTCTATGAAAGATATTTTGAGTAAACAAAAGGAAGGAGAGTGGAATTCACTCAGCCTGTCTTATCACATGGTTTTTTGAAACTATTATAGCTTCTCATTCAGCTCGATGTAATCATTCCCCGTACAAGAGTTTGGCAGTTGGTACTAAGCTGTATGGTAGATGAGGACCTGCATGATATCCCACACGTTTCAGGGTCCACCAAACGCTGACAGTGTCACTATCAACTGTGTGAATGTCCTACACTTGGGAGTCTACTACTAGTGTTCTCCTAGTTACAGCAACAGTTACTAATACCATGGAAAAGAAACAGAAAAAGTGAGCCCTAGGAGAAAAAATTTCTACTTTTAAATCTTAATTATATTCTAAAATATTTTTGAAGCATGCTTACTAGCTAAAATTGTATCCAAGTATCTTCCTATAGGCATTAAAAAACAACCAATTAGTAAATAATCAATATCTCCGTCGGTCTGATACTTTTCATTTTTACTAACTTCCTTCTAAAAGTTATTTCAAGCTTAATTTAAACCCAACCTAGTTTTACACCATATGCTAATTCTTACTGATTCCATTTCATTATCTTGTTCATTATACAGGTTAAGGATTTGTTTTTACCATATTAAACATTTCCCTTGCCACACAGAAAGTAGTTCTTAGCTTCTAGAAGTGACAATAATAATGTTTCTTTCATATTTACATTTATATTAGTCAGAAGAAATGATAGAGCACAGGGTTTAAGAAAGTTGCTTAATAGAGCTCATAGTAAAATTTGTCTATATGTGAAAGGTATTGCAACTTGAGTAGCGTCCCCGAATTGCTCAGTGTGTGCCATGTTTTTGTAAGTTTAGTATCCTGTGTTGTTTAGGCTTCCACCTAAATTAGTGCTCTTTGCGATATCATGGTAGAGTTGTATCCATTTTGATCATAAGACACTATCAAACTATGCAATATTCGAATAATGGACCTGTAAATAAGAATGTACTAATTCCACAGTGTTAACCTTAGCAGAATGGTAGTAAGATGTGACAAATTGCAGTGGTTTTGGACATGATCAGCATGGTACAAAAACACTGAAGTGAAGTATTTGATTTTTAGTACTACAGTGGAGGATGATGTATTTTGGAGTTCTTTGATGGTTTTGCACAGTTTTGCCGAATGCGTCTGACTCGGAGCCTGTGATTACTTTCTTGCACACATGAGAACTATTCTGACTCACCCAACGCTGCATCAGCGCTCTCCCTCTGCCCCTGCCTCTCACCCATCTGGCTGTCCTGTGCGCTGGTTGTCCTGTGGACCTGAATTGCATCTTCCGGGCTTACACCTCACCTCTGTGTTGTAGGAGGAGAGAATGGCTGTGGCAGAAGCAATAACAAAGGCCGTCAAAACTCACAAGACCTGTTTTTAAGAGTGGAACCAGAACACAACTGAAATCTACAAAGGAAGGAAGGCTAGATGTGTAGTCTAGTGGCATAAGAAATTCATGCGCTCTGTTCTGGTGGACTGAATTGTCTGGCTGGGTTTATTTTTTGATCAGCCTATCAGATAAAGTACACTATACTAGCCAATGTATTTTTAAGAACGATGCATTTAAAATTCAAGTTGTAAAGAGGGTGCACACTTAAATACCGTTTTTCCTTAGCTTATTTGAGGCCGATGTGGACTACAAACCTGTGATCTATGCAAACCTCTCCTTGCAGAGAATGAAGACTGCAGCGTTGATCAGTTCGGCAGTTACTCTTGAGAGATGTAAAGATCTGAGCAGTGAAGAAGACCTTTTCACTTTGTAACAGACGAAGGTATTGAAGAACACTGGAAAGAGTGGTAGTAATTGTTTCTGTATTTTTGCAGAGGCCAGCCAGGCTTTGGGGACAGAAGAGGAGGCCAGCAAGCCTGATTCTCTTCCTCAGGCCTCACCCACGCTTCTGTCCCGGTGGCCTCAGCCTGCAGCAGGGAGGCTCCAGCGCCCGTAGGTGGCGCCCCACGCCCGTGCTTGCGCCCCTAGCCTGTGCGGAGGTGCCGCTCAGAAACCCGGTGCGTCTCCCCAGGTCTTTAGAGCTCAGAACCGGCGTTTTAATAAATAAGCTTGCTGCCAAAGCGCTTCGAGCGGCTCCAGGTTCAGAGGAGCGGACAGCTAAACCCAGTCGGGAGGTACCTCTTTAATTCTTGGCAAAACCTGACGATTCTCAAACTGGAGATTCTGGAGCCACGGCCTTTAAACCATTAAATCAAGCTTTCTCGGTCTATCCCAGTTTTTGTTTTTGTTTTTTTTTTTTTTTCCCCTTCAACTTTTTTTTTTTTTTCTTCCTTTAATTATGAAAGTGGTCACGCCATTCAAGATTAAGACTTGGAGAGAATTTGGAAAAGAAAAGAAAGAATCAAAAAGAAGAGACGCGGCTGGCGCTTTTGAGGGTACCTAATTTTCCAAAGAATTTCGCTTTGGGTTTAGGGTGAGAGCGGGACCTGGGCGGTGCAGGGTGTCGCGGGGTTGCGGGGGAGGGAGTACCAGAGCTGGGGGAAAGAGAGAGAGAGTGATGCTCGGAGTCCCTAGCGCGATGACACTGATGCGCCGTGCGCTCTGGAGCCTGCAGGAGAGGCTGGGACGGAGGAGCTTGGACGGAGCTGAGCAGAAGGCGCGCGGGGTGCAGCGCGGGGTTCCGCGCGCGCTCTGTGCTCCGCTTGCAGCGTCCGGGTCGCCCGCGCCCGGGGGGACGCGCTGCGGGAAGCCGAGCGAGGCTCCGCGTGCTGCAGGGCGCGGGGTGCGCGGGCCCCGAGCGGGCGTGGCGCACACCGGGAGCGGTAGAAGGCCGGCGCGGGAAAGCGGCAGGGCGGGGCGGCGCGGTTTATTGGCCACGCGGGGAGAGAAGGGTCGCGCTCCGAATCCTCCTCCCGCGAGCTCCTGCCAGCTCGCCTCATTTTCTCTAAGCAGAACAACTTCGCCGGTAGCGGTGATCGCTGGGCATGGATGTTCCAGGTAACCAAACCTTATCCCTGCCTGCCTTCCAGGAGTCTGGCATTGGGCTTGCATAGACTTTAATAAGGATAGGCGCGAGTCTTGTTCTGGGGAAGGAGGTTGGGAAGCAGAAGAATCTCCTAATGCTTTGGTGCCGGGACTGAGGACAGCAGACATATTGAGAAACAACTTCCCTTTTCTTGGAAAGAACAGTGGAAGAGTTATTGCGAGGCTGTGGGCAGCGAGGGTGCAGGCTTCTTGGCTTTTTGTTTCTCGCCTGGGTATTGGCATGACCTGTCTGGTGTAATGCGAGAAAAAGAGACAGGGTAAAACTATCCAGGGTGTCCAAGTTAGAGACACTCACGGGGGCTGCCTCCCAACTCGGGGAGTCCGGGCGCGGGGTACAGAGATCAGGGCTTTAAAACAGGCAAAGCCTGGGATTCTGGTCGCTGGTTTCTTCCCTTGGGGAGGGAAACCTGAGGAGTTTCTCCAAGGGGGCTCGCTAGTGGCAGTGGGGACATGGGTGTGTGCTTTTAGTGCTAAGCGCTTCTCAATCTGTGTCCCCACCCCTTAATCTCATTCACCCAAAGGAGCTTTCTGGGAGTGGAAATGGATTATTTATTTAATTACTAAATGGATTGCTTTAAAAACACCTCCTGATGGAAAATAGAGAATGGAACAGAAGGCAGGGAAAAGACCCCCCCTCCTTGCTCCCCCCCCCCTGTGGCTTTCAGGAAACGCAGCTGAGATGAACCCACTTTTTGTTTTTCCTTTGCCTGTGTCTTGAATCTCCTCGCCTTTGGCTGAGTGAGTGGAAGCCGGCTCCAGGGTCCCACCTAGGGCCAAGGTCTTGCAGCACCCTCTCGCGCCCAGGAGTGCGCAGCCCAGGAGCCCTCCCAGATGCGCTCCTCAGCGCGCCCAGGCTTTTCTCCAGACCTGTTGTGCTAAATTGGCGATCGACGTGACTATGGCCCTAGAGGATGGCCATCAGAAACGGGGCCCAGACACGCAGGCACCTGCTCCCCGCTGCGCCTCTCCCCACCTCCACCTCCCTGTCTAAGGATTTGGGTTCTGTGCCCTGACAGGTCTGCTGGCACCCTCCTCCTGAGAAGCACCCGGCTTTGACCGTACCAGAGGGGAACCGAGCCAAGAGGAAGCTACTCCTGCCCCCGGCGTTCCCGCGCGCCCCTGGGCGCTCGTCCCGCCCCCCAGCCTAGCCGCCCCCCAGCCCAGATGCCGACGCCGGGCAGGGGCGCCAGCGGGCGGCAGCAGACCATGCCCCGGCGCCGGGGGGCGCTGCGGGAGCCGGCCGACTGCGGCTCCTGCTTGGGGGCGGCGCTGGCCTTGCTGCTGCTGCTGCTACCCGCCTGCTATCCCGTGCGGGCGCAGAATGACACGGAGCCCATCGTGCTGGAGGGCAAGTGCCTGGTGGTGTGCGACTCCAGCCCCTCGGCGGACGGCGCGGTCACTTCCTCCCTGGGCATCTCGGTGCGCTCCGGCAGCGCCAAGGTGGCCTTCTCCGCCACGCGCAGCACGAACCACGAGCCGTCGGAGATGAGCAACCGCACCATGACCATCTACTTCGACCAGGTCAGCCGTCGCCGGCCCCCCGGCCCGGAAGCAGGGGCGGGGCCCACATTGGGGTGCGGGTTGTGCTTGTTCGGCGAAGAGTTCCAGGCTTGTTTCTCCTCTCTGCTCTGGCCACAACTTCAACCCATCGTTCCCCTTCCATGCTCTCCTCCCATTTCCCTCCCCACATCTTTTTAATCTTTAATCACTTGGCTCATGGCTCTCGAGAATCCTAAACTTCCTAAATAGCCTGTAAAGCTGAGATTTAAAATCTATTTCCGCACCTTTCCTTTCCCCTGGGTGGGATGGGGGTGGGGAGTGTTGGTAGTCCTGATCTGCAGTCACTCAGGGACCCCAAGTAAGAGCTAAGTGTGTGCAGGACTCCTCAGCACAGGAGCCTCCAAAGGGCCTGGGCAAAATGCGGACAGTGTGGGACTGTTACTGATTTTGCAGGCTGTCCTGGTGAAGCAATGTGTATTTTAGAGAAAAATAAGTGTGGGGCAAACAGAAAAAATAATCATACAAAAATAAAACAAAGTAATATGGTTGTTTAAATACAGTGGATTGTAAACGAAATATAATATGCAGATACATTCCATACCAGTTTCCAGCGTAGCCCCCAGCGTAGCTGTATAATTAAAGAGCTGTTACTGAAGTCAGTCGCTTTAAGCTGCTTAACTTCTGCTTCTTGGTTCACAGCAGAAGTCAGAGCTTGGCCCAGCCTTTGCAGCTCTTTTCTCAGGGTGATTGGGACTCTGGGTTTGAAGGTCTTGACCTTTCTGAGTGAATCCTTCCCAACTTTGGTTTCTATTATTTTTTAGAAGCAATTTGAAAACATAATTCCAGACTTTGGATAATCAGCTAATCCTTTTGCCAAAATGCCTCCTACAAAATGGAGACCCTGGTGGCCGCAGAGACGGCATGCATCCTCAGCAGGCATGGCTTTGCCCTGCTCCAGGCCATAGTCTTCATTTTCAGTGATCCTTAAAGATCATCTCTTTGATGGGGTTTCTTTGTGTGTGGGAGCGGTGTGAATGGGAGTTTTCTTTTTCTTTAATATGTTTTTATTTAAAGGAATAAAAATACTATTGTAATTACTAATGAAGACAAAGAAATAGGATTTGGAATTTATGTACTGTATTAATAAGTTCTTGATGGACCGCTATTCTAATGTCATTATGTTTTATTTACCAATGTCTTACAAATAGTGTTCACCACCCTTTCACATATACATTCCAGCTGGGTGTCAAGAAAACTGGCGAAGTGCAGGATGCATAGAAATAGGATTCTAATTTTATAGTTTAGCAAATTGTGGCAGGGTAGATTAAACACTATTTGCTTGGCTCCCAGTTAGGGAATGTCTGGGACCCACTTTGCAAGGGCTGGCTTGGTGTTTCTCCAAATGTAACAGAGCCCTGAATTTACCAGCTTCTAGAACTGAAAATCGTGATGGAGGGGTGAAGGTTAAGGGAAGAGGCAGCAGCTCCAGGAGCTTAAGTGGAGAATGTTTTATGCTTTTTTGAAGCATTGTGAGAGAGACATAGCATAGTATTCACAGGCTAAGAACAGGCATCATGAAGCGCTTTGTCTCCAACAATAGAGCCCAGAATGTTTGCAAAAGACCCGCCCTTCAGGGACTCAAGTGGTGGTCAGAGCCAGGTCCAGTCCAAGATGAATGAACCAGTGTTTTCCACAAGTCACGTCCACACTGCTGTGGGTAACTGTGCAAGCTCATGTCCTTTTGTGTTACTCCTTTATTTTGAGCACAAAAAAGTAACAGTAAGAGGTATCTGATTTAAGTTTATTCTATGAGCAGATGACAAGATCGCAAATACAGGGCTGTTAAATGTTGTTTCTGCTGCTTATTATAAAAGTCAAGAATCCAGTGGACTATTTCCTTGTTTTAACTGCATTTGATTTGTATATGAGGAGGAACAGGGGCAGTATCCAGAACAGGGAGTTAGATTTTGTCTGGAGCATCTGGGAGGGATTTGTGTCATACAGGGTAACCTGCCACTCTTCAAGTTCTGCTTGTAACATTATCACACTCTCATCCTATTCCTGGAAGAATCCACTTGCAGGGCATGTGATCCCCTGTCCAGTGACTCAATCTGCCTTTTAGAGTTGTGGGATCTCCTTAGTTGGAGCTAATGGTATCCAGTCTACCATTTCAGTTCTCTGTATTTATTCATAGTTGTTTACTTATTTGCACCATGCCTCAGTTAAGGGAGCAAACACACTTCCCAGAGGACAGAGAGGAGCAACCCAGGCATCCAATGTCTATTGATAAAACATTTTCACTCCTCATCCATTATTGAGCACCTACTACTACTGCCAGGGACTCAGAAGCCCTGGAGAAAAAACATCCCAGAGGCTGTTTTTTCCTGGAGCACATGAAGATAGGCCCTGAGCTTGTTCCTTCAGAAATGACCTCGTTTAATTGCGACTTTCTTCTCAGCCTTTTCTATCTCCACTTAGTACAGATCTATGTTTATTAATCAAAGCATCACGCTGATGTCTTTGCAATCCACAGACCTCAGAAACAGACCTGATTTATAGTTTATTGAGTTTCCTTTCTCAATGTCCTGACCCCCAACACAGAAAATTCACACCTACTCTCTGAATATGTAACGAAAATATGCTTTAAATTTCTTCCTGAAATTATAACCCATAGAGTACTTGTGAAATCCACCCCTGTTCTATGGCGTTTTGACTTCCTCACTTCCTCCTTGCCGGGAAGGAGGAGGGGGCTGACTTGGTGATAGGCGCTGCCCCATACTGCTATCAGCAGTTACCGGAGAGTGATTAAAACACGGCCGAGCAGGCCTTGCTCTGTTAGTATTGTATTCCCTCTTGTTTTGCAGGTATTAGTAAACATTGGCAACCATTTTGATCTTGCCTCCAGCATATTTGTAGCTCCAAGGAAAGGGATCTATAGCTTCAGCTTCCACGTGGTCAAAGTGTATAACAGACAGACCATCCAGGTGGGTAGCTCTTAGAACTGGGCCCTTGCAAACCTGGCTCATGGTGTCCCATTGCTGAGGGCTCCGTGGCTTGGTCTGTGAGGCTGAGTAGCCAGGGAGCTGGGCTCTCCAGGGTCCTTTGGCTCCAGGCAGCCAAGAGTCCCCTTTGCTGACCCCTAGTATGAGCTGTAAGGGTGGGCTAGGGTTATTATCAAAGAAGGGGACAGCATGTGGGTGTGGGGTACTTTATGGCTTGCTGAGCTCTCCCCTCTACATTTTAGGTCAGTTTAATGCAAAACGGCTACCCAGTGATCTCAGCATTTGCGGGAGACCAGGACGTTACCAGAGAAGCAGCCAGCAATGGTGTCCTGCTGCTCATGGAAAGGGAAGACAAAGTGCACCTCAAACTGGAGAGGGGCAACCTCATGGGAGGCTGGAAATACTCCACATTCTCGGGCTTCTTGGTTTTTCCTTTATAGACAGAGTCCCCTGAATGGGGGGGAAGTAGCAAACTGGACCAGGAATCCACCCTTCATGATACCCTGAACTTGCCAGACTATGACAGCCTGGTTCCGACTTCATCAGACTGTTGCAGTAGAAGAATGATTTCCTTTTTCCAGTATTTTCTTTGAATATTGAAAATTCCTCGGGAACCTGGCCTCTAATTAGTTTTAGACAACAAGGTCTTAAGGAGAAATGAAATTATCAATTTGAGCAATTTGTACCTGTGATTGTAAAGTCGATATTGGATTTTGTTGTTGGGACCATCAACTTATTTTTCTGTTTCTTTGTTTGTACACTGTGTCATTATCTCAATGGCAAGAGAGCCCAGGACCCCAGGAGGGACTCCAGGCTGCAGTCAGGATTCACAGCAAGAGCCACGCGAAGATCCACCTGCTGGGAAGTCTTGACATGTGCTCCTTGTGTCTGTATAGCCTTAAGGAAAAGAATGGCTTCACTTTTCCTTCTGTATTTTTCCCCAGGGTAGACAAGAGGATTTGGGAGGGGGATGGGGCCATTGTGAACCCATCAAGAAGTGCTTCATCCAGAGAAGCAAATTTTGCAAGATTAGATTGCAACTTTTGTTTGTTGTTTATGTGTGTGTGTTCTTCCTCTTCTTTCTCCTCTTTCTCCTCCTTTTCCTTCTTTTCCTCCTCCTCCTCCTCCTCCTCCTCCTCCTCCTCCTCTTCTTCTTCTTCTTCTTCTTCTTCTTCTTCTTCTTCTTCTTCTTCTTCTTCTTCTTCTTCTTCTTCGTCCTCTTCTTCTTCTTCTTTTCCTCCAGAAGTATACTTCTTTTCCAATACTAGGCTGTCTCCATACAGCCCCATTTTTAGTTTTGGTGCTGGAGTAGTGGAGAAGAAAAAAATGTGTGTCGTGTTCCTGGATGAAATTTAAAAAAAAATCTCTATATTTTGCTTTGGATAAGACCAAATGAAGCAAAAAGTATCTGTCAAAGTAACAATAGCAAATGAATAATTCTGCTTACTCATTCCAAGAGTCTCAGATGCACCTTTAGGATTGCAGCCTGGATTTTGTGGTTTTATTTTTAATTTTAGATTTATACTGTGGAATCCCTTAAGAGCCTGGCATTCCTGGGTGAGCCTGAATTATATAGGACGTGAAGCTGTAAGGACCAACTTCCTTAAACAGTTTTTTTCCACCATGCATTTTTCTTTATTTGGATCTATCTCTTAAATAAGCAGCACATGGTGATCAAGAGCATGAAAGAAAACAGGACCAGCCCCTCTTCCCTGGGTCTTCCTCTGATCTGCCATGGAAGGGAGGTGCTGGCACTCACCAGGGAGGCCTGGCAAGAGGCCATCTGGAACTCACCGCGGTTAAAGGTATTGGCGGAGGTGCCCAGGAGAGGTTTTACAAATCCCTGTTATGTTAGCACCTTGTGTAACAGTGTTATTAAGACTCGGCTGAGAGTTGATGGGTACAGGCTTCCTATGCCAAGAACATGTCACTAATCCCAAAGCAATCAAAGATGAGACCTCAAACCAGATGTTAATTTGTCCTTTGTGTAACAATGTAACCCAAATATTGGTGATAAAAGCTCATAATTTAAGATTCAGAATAAATGGGTTTGATGTCTGACTTTCTCTGATCCCTCCACACTGTCTCCCAACTTTCAAAATAAGGCTGAACTATCAGGGACTTGGGGATGTCAAGTCCCTGCTGTGGTTCTCTGAAAGGCGCACACACAGACATTCACCTTTGTTTGCAGATGCTGCAGGGCGTGTGGCTGGACACTGCATACTTAGATACATTTAATTTGTATGGAACATTTTTCAGAGGGAGATTTTGAAGGAGATAAGTGCAAAGCACAGTGCTGAGAGTTTTATAAGTAGGCAGCCTGCGTCTGTCCCACTTTGGATATGGCAGAAACTTCAGTCAGTGAGGAGTAATGTAAGAGACCTGCACTTGAAATAGCACCAGTGGTCTCAGGACTATATGTGAGGATGGGATGCCGTAGATTTCATTTTATACAGTAAAGGTAGTGGGGCTACATAAATGAGAAAATATGTTGTTTGACTAAAGGAGTTAATTTCATAATACCATACTGTGCAGAATTTAATTTGAGTTAAAGTGCTGTTATATATCGTGAGGGAAGACATCAACTAGAAAACATGGGGACCTTGACCCTGGTTAGGCGGATACTTCAAACCGCGAACATTATGGGGAAGCAAGAGTAGGTGCCCTCTATTTTATTGTTGGTCGATATTTTAGTCCTGTTTCCTTCATTTCCTTAACTTTATGTTCAATTTAAAACACAAAAATCTCATCAAATTAAATGAATAGTAATGCAGAGATGACAAGATACATGACTGTTACTTTTCTCACTTAATATTTAGTACATGTATTTGTTTCTTTTTATCCTTATATTGCATAGAGGTTGTTAGGTTGTGCTGTCTAATAAATATTACTGAATTGGGCAATCTAAAAATAAGCATATTTCAGGAGTTTATTTTATATTAGAAAAACATGCATCCTGATTATTCTCCTTTCTTCTTATCTGTCCTGATGTGGATGCCAAACACTGCGTTAAGTAGAAGCTTGCTGATGGCGTCTCTGGAGCCCTTTACCTCCCATCGCCGTGCCTGCCAAGGCTGTGTTTGGCTCAGGGTCTCTGAAAGAGATGAGGCTCCTGGGTCTGATCTATAAAAACATAGAGGTCAGACCAGATGTGACATGCATTTTCCCTAATTTGGTCACGAGAAAGGCATCTATATCCTTCTGAGGCCACGCTCAGCAGTCCTAGCTCGGTTCCTGGTTGTCTTAGCTGTGGAGCGATGGCTCCACAGTCAGCCCCCATCACACGGCCCAGGTGAGGACCTGCCAAGTGCTCTGAGAACTAAGGAGACTGCAATAACCCAGTGTGATATTAGGGCAGGAGGAGTGTTTCTGAAAAAAACAAAAAACAAAAAACAAAAAACAAAAAGCATTTTTCAACATGCAATTTGTGAAAATCATTTAAAATGAATATCTGACAGGAGAGCAATTGTACATGCAAGTGAATTTCCATATTCCTAATAGACTGTTAAAACTGTTGTACTATATTGGATTTTCTTGTAATTTGATTTTTAGCAATGATGATCATATCACATTCCATACATTTTTTATTAACTCCATTCCCAGAGGTGTTATTTGCTTTTCCTGTGTGCTTCCTGCTCACCTTTGTGTGCCAATATACTCTGCCAATATTATATAAAAATATACAAATGTAAGATTTCTGACATAAGTAACAAAGATAATATTATTAATGTAAAGTAATATTATGGCACTTGAATACTAAGTTGTTTTAGTTGATTAATGTTAGCTGTACTAAATTGTAAATGCTTTTAAAGCAATACCATTTTCTTAGGTTAAAATATATTCTAATTGGAAATATAACCTGGGTGACAACTTTAAATCCTAAGAAACTATGTTTACCATCTATAATTCCTGAGCCCTTTTTGCATCCTAGTATTTTTGATATATCTGTTCATGTATAAGTGAAATTATCTACATTTTTACAGTGTAAAAAAACAGTGTATGGCTGCTCAGAGTAAAGGTGATACAAACCTATTGAATATTAGCATGAATTCATGGAACTCTATATTTAATACATTTACTTGTTTTTAAATTTTTAGCTAAATCAAATTATATCAAGCATCAGAAGAAACAGAAAAATATATTCAAAGTAAAACAAAACCTTTGCTGAATATTTAATATTGTGGCAATATTTTGATATCAAGTAAATTAGAGTAATTACATATTTAATAACTATTACACTTATGTTGTTTGCCTGTGAGTACACTGACATATATATCTGACCTTTTAATGTGGTAATATAATAAAAATACGTGCATTGGCTACATTCTCTGGAATCTAGGAATATGTAGGAGGAAAATTTAATGTATCACCTTCTATAAGCAAAACAGAAACAGAGGTTGCTCTATGACATTTGACTTGTAGCAAAGGGAACAAAAAATGTTCTGCCAATTTGTGTGACCATATTTTGCAATCTTTTGTAAGAGTATATATGTTGCAATAAGATGTTATTGTGAATAAAGTAGCTAACATCTGTTTATATTTCTACAACATAAGAAGGATGTAATGATCTGATACATAGATGTTCACCGATGAAAAGTCCCTTTGCGTTAGTTACATGATAGTGTAAATATATGGCGAACTCATAGGAGCAAGTCGCATTGAATCATTCCAAAGGGTTAATGTACATTTTGTGCAAATATTTATAAAAATATACCAAGAGATTAACTGTAGAGCTGCAATGAGTTTTACTCTCTTTTATTATTTGGAAATTTGCTTGTCATTGATAACTGTTTTCCAAAGCTGGCATTTTGCTATCAAAATTGGATATTATGAATATATTTTAAAATTTAAGAACCTGGCTTGTAAATTTCTTGAAATTCTTAACATTATTCTTATTGGCATTTAAAGAGAAAACATACCAAATATACTGAATTAGTATATAATTTTAATATTGGTTTTATTGATTTATTCTAATCTATAACTGTTTCTTTGATTCACTGTGAAAAAGTTTGATGATGTTGATCACAATCATTAGTCAAGTGTTTTGTATTTGGAGACCATTTAAAAGAGCTGGAATATACCAAAAAAAAAAAAAAAAATGCATGTGACTAGAAAGATCCACTCCTCTTAGGACTTTTAAATAGGAAAGACACATGTCAAAAGTCAAGATCTAATGAATGTAAACTGCAAAAAATTGTCATATATATAAATCTGTATAATAACATTATACTAAAATACGAATCTTAAGTAAATGAAGTTTCCTTATATTTCCAAACTCAGTAGGGTAACTTGAAATTTGTAGAGGAGAAAGCCACCTAACTTTACCACCTGCAGATAACAGAAATAAATTTTGCTTCATTTTCCTAAGTGGATTTTGCTGAGGATTTCCATCACTGGAGTCACTTAAGTGTTTATAGGCTCATAAATCATCATCTTCATCAGCTGGCCCACATACGCTCAGTATGTAGTATAATTGAGCTCCTTGACAACTTAATTTGGGGGGAAAAAAGCACAATTCGCTTTCTCTTCCTAATGCCTTCAGCAGGGGTTCCCAGAGTTGGGATGCCTCACTGCACTAGAGGCTTCCTAACAAATGGAAGCACCTTACTAATGAGCTACTACCTGTCCAGCATCCTGACTGCAATGTCTTAATGTTTATTATTGTTCCCTCTCATTCCTTGGAAAGCTGATTTCTTCATTGGGCTTTTCTTCAGGTTGGCAGACACACCAAGATGAAAGAATATTGGCAACACTCATGAATAGGAAAAGTACTATTTTGCTTAAGTCTCTATAATCCAATTTTGTCCATTTACAAATACTTATACCCATCATTCATGCCTTCAAAGTGCTCTTAAGTCATTGGGTATCTTATTAGTTTCTTGACTTTATCAAACCAATGAGCACTCACTGTGATTCTGCATTTATTATTATTATGGAACTGATTTAAGGCTATCATAGAAACATGTCTAAAATATATCTAAATTAATAAAAAAATTAGTACATTCTCTTCATTGCTAATGTACCTCATTTGCAATATTTTCCATGGATATTAAAATTTCCAGCTAGCTTTGACAGTAAGTTAGTCAATGGAACATTAATCCTTGATCAGTGTCTTTTCTATAGTTATACAACTATTAGATCAAAATAGTATATTTCCAAGGAGTATTGTATTCCTAAAAAACAGATTTAGGATGTGAAAATGTGATACTGTCTCCTTTCTGTATTCCCAAGCACCAGGTGAGGATGTCATCATTTAATTTGTGTTCTGGAATTGTAAACTATCAGTGGAAACAGCAATTATATCACTTAATAATTTATTCCTTTGGGAAAAGAGTGTAGCTGCATCCTTTTCAAGTGCACAACATTTACCTGTTGCGGCCTAAGGGCAGCAGAGGAGGCTTACAGATAATAATAGAAAAATAAAGATACACTCAATGAGCACCGAGAGCTTTTAGTCCTTGTTAAAACCAGCCTAGAGGATACGCATTTAAACCATGGTGGGGGGAGCAGTGCACTTCAATTTTGAATGTGTGTTTACTAGGTGAATAATGTAATTTAGAGTTTTTGCACATCCAAAGGAGAGTTATTTTGGGATTAACATTAAATATTTAACTGCAGTTGATCTCTCAACTAAAAGTTCCTTCTTCCCATGCTGATCACTGTGGAGCATTCAGTAAACCAATAATAGAAGAAGACTTGAATGAAAACTAAAACTATTAAAGTACAGGATCAGACAAATAGAATTTCTATTAACACAGAAAAGTTAAGCTATAATAGCAATTTTAAACCTTTTTCTTTTTTCTTGCTTTCTGTGAGCTGCATTGCTTAGGGTATCAGAACACATATTAGAACTAGTGAAACTCTTAGACGTAGCCACAGAGCAGGTACAAATGAGGCATGATTTGACATCTGACTGAAGCAGAACCCAGAGGTGACACTGTAACATTTTTAGGAGATATTAGATTAATGAAACTAGATCCAGTTTAACAAGAAGCCAAAGATAAAGATTAGCCCAGATGACACTGGAAAAAACATAGATTGTGTATGTTTTATTTTTATGCAGTTAGGCACTGGTGTGTCTGTATGTTTACGAGTGTGTGAACATGAGCAATATTTAGTGTCACAACTGACAGTCTGCCTTCTGCCTATCTTGAGCTGTGCTGTTTTGAAAGTTGTTCTCAAGCAAAAAAGATGACGAGCCCAGGTGCCTTTCCTTGGATGTGTAGATTCACTTCTACTTTTTATCTTGATTATATGGCCTGTGCTTTTCATTTTATTTCTCGTATTCAATCTTAGGAATTTATTTCCCTAGAAGTTAGAAATTACATCTGGTCTCCCTGACAGAGATTGAGAACTGTGGAGAATAATTAGGCCATCTGCTGCTACAAATCCGATAGGAAGTTATGATCGGTGGATCATGGCCTAATCTGTTCTTCGTCCATTGCATCTGAATTACCTTGGCACAAAAGATTGACAAGGGGCTGGATTTTTAAAGGAAATTGTTACATCTACCCAGTCATTAGGGCAAGGGATGTGAGCATCAGGCTGTGATAATTAGAGAAGACTTATCTCCCTAAAGGCCTATTACTTCCTGATACCTGGTTTTTTGTAACCTTTTTTTCCTTCAGAGTATACTGCAATAAACAGTGAATACTATATAGGTTTTACTTATGATCCTTAGCAATTCCTTACTTTGTTCATTAGAAGAAATTATTTACTAACATAAAATTTTCTCTTTATCTTAATGGAAAATTAAAATCGTCCCAAATTTATTTTGTTATATTTGCTTTCACAATTGTAGAAACATTTGTTTTAGGAAAAAAATCCCCAATAGATGGTGCTGCTGCTGTGATTTAAACCATCAAATAATTAGTATGCAAAAGAGGTCCAGAGAGAGGCCTCTGGGAATTCCTTTACGTCAACTTACAGAAAGACAAAAATGTGGTTTCATTTTTGCTTAATGCAAATTGACATAATTGTATAATTTGAAAACTTTAGAAAGATTTTTTCATGATTTGAGGTCAAGAAATTACGTCTTGTCATTATTGTTCATATTCTCAAAATATCTTTGAACCATAAATGCCAGCAAAATTGCTACAAAAGAATGAGCTGAGTAGCCTAGATTTTCCTGCATAGAGCTCCCAGCGTACCTTATTAAAGCTATATGAGGTCTTTAGGGCAAATTGCAATGGATGTCTTCCTTTATATTTATGGGAAGTTTTTCTTTATATCTATGAGAAATTTCCAAATGCAAGGAGCACAATGGCAAGTGACACTCCCACTAACACTGATCATACACACTTCGTATAGCAGGCACTGGCTCTACTGTGTGTCTGACTATCGTTTTTCACACAATTGTTATGACACCACAGCAAAGTAGATACTATACACATTAAAATAACATTGTCAAAGTCTCACAGCAAACAAATTTCAAGGGTGCGTTTCGAATATTTGACTCTCACTTTGGAGCCTAAATCCCTACAAGAATATGTAATTTTGAAAAAAAAAAAAAAAAAAAAACACAGTTCACCTTTGCAAGCTGCAAACATAAAAGCTGCTTCGAGTAATTAAAAGAAATATTGTAACAGTTGCATTGCAATATAATTTTCTAGACTACCTATATTGGAAACACTAGAGTTCCTCAACTCACTATGTTAGGTCATCACACAGAAAAGGATGGTGGAAACATTTATCTTATTTTATTTGTTTTGCCAGAACATATTGCAAAGACAAACTTGAAATACTCAAACAGATACATACAAATAGCTCATTCTTTCAACAATATTGCATATGCTGCAATCACCACAGACCACTCTTTGTCTAGAATTCTAGATAAAGCCTAGGAAATCAAGTACAAGAAGCAGATAATCTGTTATTGAATTACAAATCTGGCTGGAGAATTGTTCTCAAACTCAGAAATCTGGAGGTTTCTTTAAAACAATACATATATTGCCCTGAACAGATAATTAGGGAAAATGAAAATTAAGTAAATAAAATAGAAAGGAACCTTTAGACTAGATAAATGACATTTAATTGTATTAAATGTTCTTAGCGTATTCTTACGTCGGAGGAAAATACAGTTTCAAAATTAGGTGAAAACGATAAAACAAGATGAAATATGTCTCCAAATATTACTCTGAGAATAATTTTTCTTTTTTGTTACATTTAACTACACTTTTTTGTATTCCATCCACCAGATCACAGACTGTAAACACACAAAACGTTTACATTTGATGATGTTGGGGGTGGTGACGATGATGATGGTGATGATGATGATGATGATGATGATTTTGATAAGGAGAATCAAACTCAGTACCTTGTGCTCACCAGGCAGGGTCTGTGCCTCTGAGCTGCAGACCCAACTCCTTACATTTGAAATCATTATCTCTAAATTTACTACCAAGTCTCTTTATGTGCTATGTGTTTTCATCATATTTTAAACAATGTAAAGACTCTTTTTTTTAACTTGCTGATTATAATTTTTGTGAAAAAGAAGTGCTCATTTTTATTCACAGAAGTTAAAGAAATATAATTAGCAACCTTTAAAAATTCATTTACTTTAGTGGAATTGACCTGAGTGAGTAAATAACTGGTGAGATATAAATCAGGTAGATACTAATAGTGTGCAATACTATTTCTCTGGGTTATTTACTTGATTCTCCTACCAGCTGAAAAGCCTCATTAGGATCCTCCAGCATTTAGTAGCACTGACATTCTGATAGAGTCCCTGAACATGTAACAACAGCATGCAGGAAAATTTCATTTCAAGTGAGATAGAGTATTTAAGTAAAATTCCAAATGAACATAAATTGAAATATGAATTTTTCTTATTTAATTCCTTTCCAAAATTTTTCCATAGCTTTCAACATATTCCATGAACAGTTTGTTCACATTAAATATTATCAAGTTAAACTTATTGGCTTGTAAAATAATCAATGTTACTTCAGAATATTAATTGAAGAAATCATAGCTGTGGTTTATTGATCTGTTTTGGCATCACAGAAGTTTATGTTTATGCCAACATTGGTGGTTCTTCTTTAGTTAGAAAACATCTAAGAGTTCCCATGACACAGTAGAAAGTAATGCATCGCCTCCAGCCTCAGTCACAAAGGAGATGGAGAGGAGCTGTGGCATTCATGTCTTCTGAAGACTGTGGCATTTCTCTCCTGCATTTCCAGAAACAACATATCTTTGTTATACTGGCTTTAGTTCCAGTATACACTGAAGAATATAAAATGGTTATTGCTAATCAGAAATAAATGTAGTAGACAATAGATCAGAACATACTGAGATAAGGATGCTAGGAAAATGTAAATGTACACATGAATAGAATGGATCAATACACTGACCAATGGGTCAATAGATGA